TTTTTTTTGAACTTTCACATATTTAATTTATGTTAAATACAAAACATACTAGTTTTCCTTTGGTCACTATTTAATCAATTTTTTCCATCAATAGCTGGTATGTTTCCCATAAAGCTGGTACAAAACATATTACAAAACCTGCCAGTTTCCCATAAAGAGCTGCTATCTTATGGGCTATTTAACCAATTTTTCATATTTAAACAAATTTCCAAAACATAAAATAACGTATTTGAAAGTTGCGTTTTTATTTGGAAGAACACATTCCTTGGATGCATTTTTCACCCTTTGGGAAGAGACTAAAAAATCGTCACCTTTTGGGTGATTGTTTAAAAACTCCTTTTTTTGGAATTTACTTTTTGTTAATGCAGCCACTATATTTATTTTCTGGTATTAATTTTTTTATTATTTATGATTTTCTTATGTTTTATCAAAAAGTTAATAACTATTGTAGTTACAATTATGAAGATGTTAATTTGTCGTATGTGTAATTCTTTTGTTTTAGAAGAATTGTTATATCAGGGGTAAATTTGGAATTTAATTGCATTTAATTTCGAAACACTCATCAAACCAAACATCAGGAATTGGAATGATGCTAATTCCAATGTGTGAACCAAGCTAGATATTGGAATGAAAAGTTTTAATTCCAAAACCAGAATCTATGATTCCATTTCCATTTCCGATTCCAATCTGTGAAACAAGCAGCCCCTAAGTTATAAGGGATTTGACAGTACAAGATTTCAGTCAACTTGAGCTATCATGAATTCCAATGAAGCAGTGAATGAGAAACTAGATAAGAGTGGACTGGAGTAACTGGACTCAACGGATCATCGGAAAGGGGCCAATTTGGGCTGTACACTACAACCAGCAATTGACCAATCCATCTGGGAGGATAAATTACATTATTGATTATTGATTATACCTGGCAATTAGGCGGGTTCGGCTTATTTTAGGTGGGTTTATATTTGATTTTCATTTAAATAAGTTATCTTCAATTGGCCCAACTTTAGGTTTGATTGATTTTGGATTGAATCATATTAGATCATGTCAAATTCATGGCCCAAATATAACCCAACTTATTAATTAATACTATACCTGGCAATTGGGCGGGTTGGACGGGTTTTGGATGGATTACTATTAGGTTTTCATTTAAATGGGTTACACCCAACCTGTCCAACTTTAGATTGGGTTAATTTTGGATTTGGTCATATTGGTCATCTCAAACCCATGACTCAAATATGGCCAAATATATTAATTAATAGATTTTGATACATAAACTCTCTCAAATATATTTTCACATAAAAAAAAAAACTTTTTCACACACATAAGCACATTTTCACATAGATAGACATATTTTCACACACTAAAACACTCACAGATACAAACGCATACTCACTTTTTAAGTTCTTTTGAAACACTTTATTTTTACACACTAAAATACACATGTATGATATGGGAAGAGATAGGGGGGTTTTGGCGTGGGTTAGTGGTGTTAGAAATGGATTTAGCGTAGTGTGTATTTTGCAGTAAAATGCAGAAGGAATTGTGTTATGAAAGCAAGGGTTGGGTGGATTGTTGGGTTTTGAGCATAATTGCCAGGTTTAATTAATACATTTTGATATATAAACTTTCTCACATATATTTACACACACAAAAAGATTTTTTTGACATACATAAACGCATTTTCACTTACACAAATATATTTCACACACACAAACGCACACTCAGTTCTTAACCTTCTTGGAAACACATCATAAATAGAATAATATTTCATATTGCTTGTATTGTGAATTTTAGATAATAAATTCAACATTTAAATAGATTAGCTAAAAAAATTCGTTTACTTTATACTTTTTAAAACTACTAATTGATTGAAACTTATTTTTGTCACAACTTATTTAACACTTTAACTATTCATATTTGCTTTATTGTAAGTTCTAAAATGTATTTAAATTATTGAATGCTAGATTATATTATGCTTGAAAATGTAATTACAAGACATATAATTTGTTGTATTATAATATTGATGAGGAATTATTAACAATGAAATAAAACAAGTTAGAGAAAAGTAAAAGAATGCAATTAGAACAAATTTAAAACTCTATTCTGGGAACACAAAAATATTAACAAATAGAATCAAGTAGCAATTGGAGATTAACGATAAAAAAAAAAAAGAAAAAAAGGGGAGGAAAATAACATACTCTTAAAAGGCATAATAAACTATTATAGAAGTTGAGCAACTATAAACACTATTGTAAAAGAAGAATGAGCATGATTTTTTATTTCAAGTTTCTTTTTTTCTTTTAAATAAAAATTAAAAAATAATTGAAAACATATATATGAGAAATTTGAATACAAATTGGTCAATAATTGTTAACACATGTCCAAATGCAAGTGGTTTAGCGTATGTATATTGAATTTTGTATTTATTATTTTGAACTATTTTTAAACAAGTTGGGTATTGGATGCCCCAATAAAAAACTCAACCCGCCAAATGAATAATTTGGTTTGTTATTACTCAACCCAACAAAACCCATAACTCAACTAACCTAACCTATCCTTTAAAATAAATGGGGGTGAATTGTTAGGTTATGGGTTTTGTCGCCTGTTCTATTCTTGATGTAAAGTCATGCTTACTTCTTTACTACTTTACATTAAAAGGAATCGTACTTGTGTCCCTTTATAAATTCAAGAAAATGTATGTAACACTTAGTACTTGTGTTGTTAGTTACCTTTCTGAATTAGTCTGTGTTTGATATGTTATGGGAGAAGATATTCCCTATTGGCGTTATTTCCAAGAGTAAAAGGGCAAAGGTGAAGGGGAAATTTTCCAAAATCTCTATATGGAATTGGAGACACCAAAATGGATCATGACTATTGTTCAATGATGTTTGGAACTGATTCACACACTGGCAGTAATACTTTCTGTTCTACTTGGATTTCCTTGTATTTAATTGAGAGACATATTTAGTAAAACACTGAACGATTATAATATCAATTATTCCACATACGTTTATCAAAATTTTTTTTAAGTACGATTAAAAATTTGATACAAAATTATGAGTTGAAGGAAATAGCACATATAAATGTCTGTGTGAATAGTATGACCAAATTCATAATTTATCAGGTTAAAAAAATTGGTGAATTATTATGAATTTAAAAGATTATGCTACATTAATATCAATTTTAACTCATATCCTTATGTATGAGACAAAAGAGTATTTTAATTTTCATCATCTTTTGAATTTTATGTGTATAAATTTATCTGAATTTTCTTATGTATCATAACTACGTGCTTTATAACTTGAAAAAAATGACATCATCCTTGACAAAATTTAAAATTTTTTTTCATAAATTGAACAAGCTTTATATATATATATATATATATATATTTATTTATTTATTTATATTTATATAGCTAAATTGTGTGAGTATTTCTTAAAAAAATTGTGGGATTTTTTTTATTGTAGAAACAAACATGAAATATATGAATATAATGCAATTTTTTACAGGAGATGGAGACTCTTATTTACAAAATAACCAAGCAAAGAAATACTATTGTCTTGAGATGAATTCTTCTCATATTTTGGCTTAATAGTAGACCAGATCCGATGATTAGATTTAGATGGAGTTTGTATAATTTTTTCCTAGTTGGAAAAGGGTGGAATTTAAGCAACAGAGAGGGAACAGGGAAATTAGAATGATTCATATGAAGTCAAGTTCTCCTTTTGTGGATTGAAAATTAGGCAAAATGCATATCTATTCAATAGTTCAATGCTGAATTTTTTGAGCCAGTTTTGATGGCAATAATCAACGTTAAATCCTTCTAATTGCTGCTTAGTTCCCTCATCGGTCGTGTACATGAAATTATATTTGCCTGTCCTTAAACATCACATTCTATAAAATTGGAATGGTACAGAAAAGATTAGCATGACCCCTGTGCAACGATCACACGCACAGATTGAGAAATGGTCCAAATTTTTTTGGGTCTATCTGTATATGCAGATTTGGGTCTAAATCTAAAGATGACTGATACATTGACGTTCAAGAGTCAATTTAGGCTATTTCTGTGCTGATTGGGCCCGAGTGAATTTAGGCAAAATCCATGAACCGCTCGTATCTTGATGTTCATAACTGATTTAACTCATTGGGGCATAGTTATTAAATCTGACTTGAAGTTCGAGTCAGAAAGGTGATGAGTTCATCAGATTACCGGTTCAATCGCAGATTCCACAATAACTCTCAATCAACGGTGCTTGGACGGACTTTTCCTGGTTCACCGATTGGACCGTATAGTCGCTGACTAGTCAACGGGTTTGTCACTTAACCGATCTAATTATTGACTCAACCCGACCCTATGACTGATTCACCAAGTTGATCGGTTTAACCGTCGGACCAAGTCAAGTTTTATTACCACGTGTTGGGCGATTTTTTTCTTTAATTAACAATAGTATTTTGGATAAATTTACAAAAATGAACAAGAGTAATAGACAAAGAATAATTGTTTGACTAGAATAATGTTGCAATAATATGTTTCGAATCTTAACTTAGGTAAGTTTTAGGCAGGGTCAATTTGGTTCTCACATACAAAATATTATATTATAGAGATTTGATCTTAGAAAGGTAAACGTGATGTTGTATATCTTTCATGTTTGGCAATTCATGTGATGAATTGAAGTTATTAGGGTAAAAAAAAAAAGTGCTTATGTAAGACGTATATTATAGAGAATGATTTTTCAAAGGTAAACGTGATGTTTGATATGGCTGGAATGATATGGAAAAAAAACTTGAATGGCACCCAAAAATGTAGAGGAGCCAACTGGGCTTAGTAAGTAAAATGCTCATCTGCTTTGCTCACCGTCCTATCACGGACAAAATAATAAACACGAGATATTGAATGAAAAGGAGTCAAGATTCAAGGCAAAATGAAATTACACCTTAATTTATTTGTTACCAAAAAAAAAAGAAAAATAAGAAATATCCTTTCTAGGGCCATTTGTTAACTAATACCTACCTACTTGTTGGCCACATGTTGCACCCACAGATAACAAACTAGAAATCATATGCATGGTTGGCCTAGATTCTGGATTCACATGTAAACATGCCTCTGCTATCTTGAGGATGAATACCAGGATCTTTTCAATTTCTTGTGTGGGATGCGAAAGTCTCTGGTCGAACAACTCTTTCAATTCTATGTCTCCAGTTGTTGAAGACATTAGATGGGCAACAAATTCGCCAGGGTGCTTCCCCTTGATTATTTCCAATGTCAGTACCCCAAAGCTATAAACATCACATTTTTCAGTGACTCTCATTGTGTAGGCAAATTCTGCATGGAAAATCATGTTATCAGCGAAACCTGTACACATAATACTCGAAAATAGAGAGAAATTATAACCCTGTTAATTACCTGGTGCAATGTATCCCAATGTGCCAGCTGGAGTGGTCCAATTGGATGAGTCCCTCCTGAGAAATTTAGCAGTGCCAAAGTCCGAAACATGAGCCTCATATTCTGAATCAAGCAACACATTGTTGCTTGAAATGTCTCGATGAACTATTGAAGGCGAACAATCATGATGCATGTAAGATAGTGCTTGAGCGACACCTTTGATGATGTTCACCCTCTTTTCCCAATCTAGTTCCTTAGCTTGTTCGTCAATGCTGAAACTTTTGGCCAAGCTACCTCGCTTGAGGTACTCGTAGACCAAAAAGGAGTGTTTAGAATTTGAGCAGTAACCATGGAGCTTCACAATGTTTCTATGCTTGATGTTTGTCAATGCCCTTATCTCGTTCAAGAAACTGTTGAAGCACACCTTCTCGGGCAACAGGTGAAGCCTCTTTACAGCTACTAAGTTAGAAGGTGGTAGAATTGCTTTGTAGACACTTCCAAAACCTCCATCACCTACGCAGAATATTTCACTGAACTCTTCTGTTGCTTTTATAATTTCTCTGTACATTGCTTTGCCATCATATGTGGATATGGAAAACAAATCAGCATCCTTGACATTCTCTGTGGTCTTCCTTTTTCTTTGTCGACATATTTTAAGAGCTCCAAAGAATGCAGAAAGAAGTAAGAGTGATCCTAGAAGAGGGAGCACAATTACAAGTACAAGATTCAACCCCTTATTCTTTACATGCTTTCTAATTAGTTGAGGACTTTCACAAGCCTGTAAACCAGGAATATTGCCACACAATCCTTTGTTTCCCCTCAATTCTTTTATGGCGAGAGTTTTAAAGGCTCCTCCATAAGGAATTGGCCCCTCTAAGTTATTGAAAGATATGTTAATATGCAATGAACCAGGTAGTTCTGCCAAAGCATTTGGAAGGAAACCAGAGAGGTTGTTATGAGAAAGATCCAATATTTCTAGACTCTGAAAACTCCTGAACTCAGATGGTATTTTTCCCGTGATGTAATTATGACTCAGATCCAAGATAGAAAGGTGAGTTAACTTGGCCATCTGAGGTGGAATCATTTGACTTAGATTGTTGTTGCTCAAGTTCAGGTAAAACAATTGTTGGCAACGTCCTAAATTTTCTGGGATAGATCCACTCAAGAAGTTTCCTGACAGGTCTAGATAAAGCAGATTTTTTAGCAAACCTAATTCTTCAGGTATTTTGCCAGAAAGGTGGTTATATTGAAGAGTTAGATTTAGCAGAGAAGCCAGATTCATAACTTGCTCTGGAATTTTCCCAATCAAGTTATTGGAAGAAAGATCAAGCCTTTGAAGTTGAGACGCGTTTCCCAGCTGCGAAGGGATTCTACCTGTGATGTGATTGTCTGCAAGCAAAAGTGCTGCCAAGTTTGGGCATCTACCCCAGTTGCCAGAAAGTCCACCAAAGAAATCATTGTTCCTAAGATCCATGAAATTCAAGTTTGGATAGATACCAAACATCTCTGACAGGTTCCCGGTTAGTTTGTTTCCATCAAATCGAACTCTGATTAAACTGGAGCAGTTTTTCAAGCTTACAGGGATTGGACCAGTTAGCCTGTTGTTGCTTACTGTGAAGTTTTGAAGTGTTCCGTTTTGGCAAAGATGTTCTGGCAGATGACCAGACAATTGATTTGTATCCAGTTCCATCACAGCCAACTTTGTCAATTGCCCGAGCTCCACTGGAATGGAACCAGAAAGCTGGTTTTCACGGAGAAACAGAAATTCCAGGTTGCTCAGATCACCAAATGATTTAGGAATAGAACCATTCAGTTCATTCCTGTCTAGTTCCAAATCTGTAAGTAGCTCTAGGTTGCCCAACTCTTGGGGAATTGAGCCTGAGAGTTGGTTATCATAGAGATGGAGGACAGTCAAATTCGTCAGATTACCCAGTGATGTTGGAATTGTGCCAATGAGATTATTTCCAAACAAGCTCAAACTCTGGAGTGATTTCAACTGCCCTAACTCTACTGGAATGGGACCGGACAGATCGTTTTGGAAAAGGAACAAGGTCTCTAGCTTATTGAGGTTACCTAGAACATGTGGAATTGAACCTGTTAAATGATTAGAGCTCAGAAAAGCAGTGACTAGATTGGATAAGTTTCCTATTTCTGGAGGAAGGGGGCCTGAAAATTGATTCTCATACAAAGACAAGTATGTCAAGTTTCTCAGATTTGCCAAGGAAGATGGAATAGTGCCGCTGATGTTATTGGTATTCAAGTCAAGCTCAGTAAGATGGACTAAATGGCTTAATTCCTCGGGAATTGGACCGGACAAGTGATTTTCGTTTAGATGAAGGACTTGAAGATTTTTTAACAAGCCAAATTCCGGTGGGATTTCTTCTGACAACATATTGGCCGAGAAATCGAGATAAATGAGCTTGGAAAGATTACCAACCTGGGGTGGTATGCTGCCAAAAAGTTCATTCATGGACAGATCAACGTATTCAAGATTTGGCAAGGATGAAAATGGGAAGTCATAGAGTGTAGAGCTGACTTCGGAATTTGTGAGGTTCAATCCGTTGACGCTTCCACCAATGTTGCATGAGACACCCGCCCAAGTGCAAGGGCTGGAAGAATTCTTGGCTTTGGTAGGCGTAATATTCCATGAAATCAAGAGGGAACCATTCTGGTTGGCAAAACCGGCTTTCCATTTTAAGAGGGCAGCAGCCTCTTCCGCAAAAGCTGACGCACAAACTTCGGGTGGAAATGATGGGGCTAGTGTATATAGCACAAAAAGAAACATGAAAAAGGCTTCTCTTGTCACGCAAGGACGCATGATTTCTTTAGCTCACGCTCAGCTGAAGCTGGATCAAATTGGTTCACTTTGTTTTTCTAATGAACTGCATGATGAGATACTGATGGTTCATCCCTTTAAATACAAGGCTCCGGAGGTCGTCTTTTTCTTTCTTTCTTCTCCCCATTCTTCTGTCATACAGATAAAGTACACATTGAAAATTGATTCATTGTCCTTAATTGGACCAAGTTTTGTCTTGGCCTGTTAGGTAGTTTCCCGATTCTGATAAAGGCCATTCTTGTCACCTTTCTGTATGAAAACGAAAGTAGATCAGTAGAGTTTAATAAAAACCCACTAGTCTCTTTTACGAGACACGTGCATCAAATTTCAGAAGTTAATTATTTAGTAAGGACTTTGAAAAGTAAATCAATGTGGCATTTTGATTTTACATTGCAAACCTACCAGAGATTTTAATAGTCAACAGTCAATGCTTCTAAAGGGCAGTTGAAAAGACCTTCTATATTATACTATCTAGTAGCTGATTTGGTGCATTAGATTTCGTACTCCGACGACGTCCTCAATATATAATTTAATGTAGTTTTTTTAGTCTTGCCTTACTTATGCTATTTGAGTTTATTTATGTAATTTTAGAAATAAAGTTGATATTGAAATATATTACCTTAATTTTCTTGAAGAATAAAAGTTCATATTTGAAAGCAATTCCAAGGGAAGGATTTTAGAAGTTTCTATGGCTATACTTTTGGTATCAAAATAAGAATCAAGCACTTAGGCCAAATTCTTAGAACAATAATTCTTTTAGGATGCATTTGATAAAACCGAACTGTAAAAACTGAAATTTGAAATATGAATACAATAAATTACTGAATTGTTAAATACTAAATCTGATAAATTTGAGTGTATATCACATTAAGTGGTAAATAATATTTATTTTTGGAAATAAATTTTACTTAAGAAATTAAGTACTATTTAATTAATTCAGATATTTTATTTTTTATTATCAAACATGTATAAACATATTAAAATCTGAACCCATTAAATTTAAATATTAAATTGAACTTTCAAACAAGGGTTAGTCTATTGCAACAAGAACAGTCAAGAGGTTTTACAAACTTTGAAAAAAAAAAAAAAAATTCCCCAGCATGTGCTAACAACTTGGATTATTGTGAAATCTTGCTTAAAGCCGTGGATTTCACTTGGAACAAGAATTGTGAGCGGCCGCCAACCGAGTGAGGTGACGAAGAGAGAGAATGGGTGAGACTGGGGAGACAAGGCCAGAAGAGAGTAGTTCGTGAATCTTCAAAACCTTGATTGGATGGTGAATTAAAATATGATTGAGAAGAAAATTTAGAGATGTGACCCTTTTATCAAACTCTACTAATCTACCATTCTTATTTTATATTTCCTAAAAAGACTTGTGTATCCCATTGTTATAATAGAGATTCTTTGACAAGATTAGGTCTCATAGTTTTTCTCAATTTGGATTTTTTTATATTAAACTCTTGGTATCCCGTGACTTTTACTTTTTGACATTTAATTATTGATGTTATTGTTTGGTAAGTTGGTTTAATCTATTTTCATTAGCACTTGGAAAAAGAGTAATTTATCCTAGATTAATTCTAATATCGTGTGCCTGATTCACAAAGTGGTATCCGAGCAATCATATTGGGTTGCTCATTTATACTGATTAAAATGGATGACTCAAATAGTGGCTGTATAATAAAATTAAATGTAATTAATTATTCGACTTGAAAAATTAGAATGAAAGATTATTTGTATTATGGAGATTTATTTGAATATGTTGTAAAGGATAAGAATAAACCAAATGATATAGACGATGAAGAGCGAGTTAATGTGCAGAAAAAAAAACTGTTGGCGAGTGCATTTGATAAAAGGAGAAGTTTTTATTAACAAAAATATTGGAAAATATCCAGCGTGATTTAGAAAATCAGAGTCGCTATTCTAGAGGAAACAAACGAGATGTATCTGTGTGTGTGTGTGTGTGTGTGTGGTTTTTTTTTTGGGACAAATTTTGCTGACTCATGTGTAACTCTATTGGCTTCCTTGGGGATCCAATCCATATCCAAGACATTCAACCTAGTCAAAAGATATTCGTACATCATCAATCGATGGTCTATGTCACAGAGACACTCTTCATCATTGTTCATTCTTCAGTAGATACTTGTTCCAGTGCATTCATGATAATGCAAGTTGAATTTTTTTTTTTGCAATTTATTTGGCTAAACATATAAGAGCGTCCAGCTCCGGATCTGTCAAAGCTAGCAGATATCATCTGCTATACACGAATAATCATATGAATGCAGATCGGAGCAGCGGCTCAGATATCTGATCTGCTTGCACCCTTGCGATTATTAGCTCAAAATTTAGCTGAGAGAGCATAGAAATTAACTTTTAGAAGATCAAAAGTTAGAACGAAGTTTCAAATTTTACTTGAAAATAAGCCCATCCTATTCTATACACGAAATAATCATGCGAGGCTCACATATTTGATCTGTTTGCACCCGTAGATTAGGAGCCATCATTGATCGAGATTGGGTTGGTCGAGTCAAACAGTCTTCCATAGACTTTGGTTTTTTTTTTTTGGGTAAAATTTGGTGGTTTAAAAACAAAAAGTCTCCTGTAATATACCTAATATACAAAAAACCCTCATATAGTTTCAAAACATATAAAACGATATTTTATGTTTTGAACTAAATTGTAAACTAATAGAATTCGTTAAATTTAACGAAAATAACGGTTTCGGTTGTTAAATTTATTGGATTCCGTTAAATTTACCGTTAAGTTTATCCGATTCCGTTAAGTTTTCCGTTAATTTACCGAATTCAGTTAAATTTAACGAATTTTGTTAATTTACAATTTAGTTCAAAATATGAGGTATCGTTTTGTATATTTTGAAATCATGGGGGGATTTTCTATATATTAGATATATCACAGGAGCTTTTTTGCTTTTAACCCTTTGTTTTTAACCATAGGTTTGTCTACTATAGCACTTGTTAAGATATATTTCATGTGTCATTTTTTGAAAATACAAGATTAATTAAGGAAAGGAAATACATACAAAGAATGGTAGGTAAAAATTAAATAGAGAAAGTATATAACATAATAAAAAGTTGTAATTGTTAGTATATATATATACAATGGAATAAGTGAATGATAACAAGTGTCTATAGGACACCCATTAAAAAAACTCTTAAATTTATATGGACAACATGATAAGCGATTCGAATCCATCAACTTAGCAAAGGCATCAATTTATATGGATAGAACCGGCTATGTTATGCATCAGTCATGGGATGATTGTTCAGACACCGTCCAAATGAACCACAAAACAAACAAGAGGAATCTGAATATACAGCTTTCCATAAGCAAAACGAGGACATATAAAAACAGATTATTTTGATACTTGAGATGCACATTCGTATCTAGGCTTACAAACAACTATAAAAGGAAGTAACATCCCAGTCCAAATCGTGTAGTGTCGTCCGACTGGGGATATCAATCATCTTAGGCTGCCTGGGGAGGACGACTCGTGCCTGCTGAAGGTGGTGTATGATAGACACCTGGGCTTATCTTTACCTCTGGAAGATTGGCACCTTTACCCCGAAATCCATCTGCATGAGACCAGAGTACAACACACATAAAACGATAAACCAAGTTATCATAGGTTATTCAAGGTATTGGACCACGAGACTTACTTCTTGTCCGGAAACTGTTCTTGATGCCGCAGGTAAGATGGATGAAGTTGAAAGTAAGACGAGAAAGAAAAGTGTGGTGAGAGCGTTGGCGGCCATGAATTCTACAGAAACCGGTAAATTTCGGAAGCTACCACCTATTCGAAAGGTTGGTGCAATTGCTCAACTATATATAGGAAGTTTTAGGAAATGGTGAAAGGTTTGAAATTCATAAGAAGTATATAATTTGGGTGAATTTGTGAAAGAAAAATGAGTAACTACTCACTTTATGCAAAATGTATTATGGCATTCGGAATTACCACAAAGCCCTGAAAAGCTTGCTGAACACATTTTTTTAAAGTAAACCCGGTTCTGTTTTCCTTCTTCTCAACTAAGATTCCTACATTGCTACAATTTTCGTCTTTTAATGGTAATAAAACTTTGCCGCCAAGCTTTCAATGTTATGCCTCATATTTTGGCCAGTATTTTGTCCAAATTTTATAAATAAAAAAAAATCCTTTTATTAAAGCTCAAAACAAGCGCTGTTGCGACTTATTTACCAATTTTGTTACTGGCAAGAGTTTCAATTTTTGTTTCCCTTTTAGTTTCGGGCACATTGGGGTATAAATAGGTCTTGTGAGGACTTACTCTTAATATTAATCAAATATCTTTGATTTTTTTACCAAATTTTCTTGTGAGTGCAAAAGTAACATGAAATTTCTTTTAATCCACAAATTTAGGGTAGGTAGTGATCAACGAATTGTTTCAAGTGCATAGGGTCGATCGTAATAATAAATTATCTGAAATATTCCATGGTCGAACCCACAAGAACGATAACAAAAATAACAAAAATTAACCTCAATGGGTATTTTAATCACTGCTTGAGAAATTAAATAAACACTCAAATCAAATAAGATATAGGTGAGAAAACAATTGGCAAAAGACTAGGATTTCATATTTTAATCTAGAGTTTGAGTTGAATATCTAGTTAATTTCTTAACATGCCAAGAATGTATTCCATGCAAGTACCTTAGATTATCTCTAAATACATCTAAGTTGTGATTAATTAAATCTCACGTACATTTTGAGATCAAAAGTATTTAATTAAACCCTTTAAAATCTTAGGTGATATATTTATATCATACAAATCCTAACCTACTTTAGTGATTAGGAGAAGTATGCTTATTTATCTAGTGCATGATTGTATATCCTTTTTTAGTTCAATACAAATCCTAAAAGCATGTCTATGGTAGCCAAATATAAACATATAATTAAATCAAGATAAATAAATCAAGACAAAAGTTGAACATTTAATTAATATAAACAATCAAACTCCTTCACAAAATCCTACCCCTTGATATAATTTAGTTCATCATAATCATAATTAAAAACAAGAATTCAAGACACAACAACAACAAAACATATTAAACCCAAGAAACCCTTCCAATCTGTTTAGCACGTTGTTGAATTCAAATTTAATGTGAGAACAAAATATATTAAACTAGTGTAACACATCCTTTCTAAAGTCTTGTGCAATCAAGTCAGGTCCCTCTCACATAAAAAATTAAATTAAATAGGACATGAATCTATTATTGGGAA